GTTTCTCCCTGTTGGTGTTGGGCCTCTTCCTAGCTTTGGTGAAGGCCCACTTAGGGTATCCACAAGCCTTAAGGGAGTTTTGGATGTGTAATTTTTCTTTCTTGGCCCCTTCTACAGTTGTGGGCACTTCCTCTGCCCTGTGATTTAAAGTTCTGATGACTCCCAGTTTGTGTTGAAATGGATGGTGTAAGTCAAAAAGCAGGTATTGGTCCGTGTGTGTAGGGTTCCGATATACTTCTACCTTCAGGCTTCTGTCCCCTCCCAAGTGGACTGCACAATCCAGAAAGGCCAGGCAGCCATCTCTCTGGCATCCTCACGAGTGAATTTGATGTTGTCATCCACAGAGTTGATATGCTTGGTGAAAGCCTCTACCTCCTGGGTCCTCATTTTCAGCTTACTATGACCTGGATGACTGAGAATCTGCACAGACATGTGTAGCATTTTGAAACACAAATTGTGTCAACGAAGACCCAGGACTGTTGGAACCTTAAGACTTGTTTACAGGAAGACTGGGACACAATGACACCTGACACACTTAAGACGTTTAGGGACTGATGGCACCAAGTGTTGTGAAAAGGAACTACCGTGGTAAATGCTTCACTGTCCCAACTTCTTTTGGAATGTGCTGCTGGCATCAGAATTGAAGTGGGTGTTTATTTTGAACAAACAATAAAACTGATGAGGTATCACATCAACTAATGTGCTGGTTTCAATGTAATACAGGACAAATGATTTACACATCTCTATTTTCAGTTCTAATTTTGGGCTGTAGTTATACTTAAACGTTGCACAAGAATCAACCCAGAACAGTCCGTCACCTTCTCCTTCCAACATGAAACTGGGTTGTTTAGTTGCTGCTCCGATATTTCAGTGAAGCCAACGCAAGAGGAAAGTCGGGGTCACCCTTAAGTTTATCGGCTACACGTTCATGTAACTTCTACAGGTTTATCGCTCACTACATTGTGCAGTTTACACCAAGGTTCTTGCTGACCAATAACCTAATAAAGTTCACGTTATTAAAAGGTATGTAGCTCAACAAGCGCAAAGCTAACGTAGGCCTGCTACAGACTTAACGCTAGGAAGGAAGGCTGGCTAAGAAAGTAGTTTTACGAGCACCGGACGAAAAACAGAAACAAACTCATGTATTACAATGAGCTCCCAAGAAAGGAGCGTCAAACTTACATTACACTGCCTAACTGCGTCATTCTGTCGTTATTCGTGTTCCTGCCGACGGCAAAAACCCTCACGCTGCTCTCCTTCCACGTGAATTACTTGAATTTAAGCGGCGGAAAACATGAATCAGTCTTCTTCTGTAGTTTACTGGCCGTTTACCTACCAGCCCAAGGTGCATTGCCGCCAACTACTGAGCTGGAGTGTGGAGCAACCATTGAGCCAAATTAAATATATTGTAATGGTTCTGATGTCTAAAACTGTGGTCATACAACTAAATATTAGTTTAGTGATTCACAGGATTGCTAAATCCTAGAAACAAAAACGTTTGTACAACATAGTTTTGTGTTTGTACAGTCAACGGCAGACACTATTTTTTTGAACACCCCTTTCAACTAATTGCCCAATTGCACAGCCTTAAGAGCGTGCATATCATGAATGCTGGGTCTTGTTTGCTTTCTGAGAATCTACTGCACCTACTGGTAACTTGTTTGGCATGTAGCAATAAAAAATATACTAAAAACCTGGATTATTCTGGTTAGTCACATTGTACTGCTATTATTTTGAACAATACTGTATGTCCTAGAAAAAGAAAATCTCAATCTTCAAAAGCCTTACTGGCAAGTTTACTAGTTAAACTGGTTCAACTGTAACAGACATTTTAGCATCAGTTGAAAAACAAGTGCCCACAGACAGAAACAGCAAAGATATCCTTGACGTGAGAATCAGTGTCTCCATTACACAATCTGTCCATCATATAGTACTGACAACATTTTCCAACTGTAAAATGTCTGTAAAACTGACATGTCTTGGTAAAAAAAAAAAAAAAAAAAAAAACACAAATCCTTCCTTCTTCTGTGGTCTTTTATCGTGGTTGACATCCTTCCTCAAGCCAGTTAGTGCCACCTAGTGTCGCAGACACAGCCCAGCAGAGGCTGTCCACTAGAGGCGCTACAGGCCAAACTAAGTTTCTTTAAACTGTAGCTCCTCTCTGAAAATCAGTTATGACTGTCGTACTGATTTTCAGAGAGAGAATTGGTTACCTCGTTTTATGAACAGAAATTGCATAAAATCTTCAGTAATTCTGACGTTACGTATAAATACACAAAGGTAGACATTATACAGTGTTACTTCAGGAGGCCTTATATAAACTTGACAAAAGATTAGTGACCTGTTGCCACCAGCCTCAGATACACTGTGGATGTCAGATTAATTTTTAGATGTACATAAATTGTCTGCGGCGCTACGCCTGTTTGCAAGTTTGTTTGTCACAAATTGGCCCTTGTGAAAAAACAAAAGGATTCTGAATTGAATTAAAGTGACACTTGCCGTTCGTGGGCAAAAATAGCTGAATCTCTGTATATCCCGAGGAACTGGAAGAAGTGTAGAGTGAGACTGATATTTTGATTTCAATTCATCTAACTTCATGGAAGTGACAACACGAACACTCACTGACAGATAACCACTATACTGAGGAGTCTGACACACAGGTGGGTTCAGCTTTCCTTCCAGCCACCTATCACCTTGTATGTTAAAGAACACAATAGGAAAGACTCACCTTACTACTGACTTTCTCTCCAACTTGCAACATTTACTGTAAAGCAACTTCATTGAACAGGTTTTGCTTTTACTCTTTAGTTGACTCCAACAGCATCAATGAGCTGGTGCTGTCATGATGGTTAGTCTGAGGTGATTTGCATTCGCTTTCAAAAACACATGGCAAATGAGTCATCATCTTTGGTCATAAATGCTCTGGGGTGTTAGAAAAAAAAAACAACTCCAAAGAAAATTCTTTCACAGATAATCTTTATTTCAGCAAAGCTCGGAGTAGATATATTTAGCACATCTTGATCAGCAAAAGAAAGTGTTAGAACAGGAACTTTTCTCTTTCAGTACATCCTGCTACTGCACCCTCTCACCCAAGGGAGGCTTTTACTTTCATTTCCTCTAAAATATTTCATAAAATTCACAAAGAAAACTCAGGAAACCATATTATCTAGACAGAATGGAAAAGGGCATCCCTCAACTCCAGAACAAAACTAGTACTGAACAGTTTAAAAAAAAAAACAAAAAAAAAAAAAAAACCACAAGGTGTTGGTCTGCAGCAAAAATGCAAAGTTTGTTTAAATGCATCTTTCCATTTAACTGCAAAAGAGCATTTTGAGTTCACGGCATAAAACAAAATGTAATGATCCACACCAATAAGGCTAAATTGTATGCAATACAAGAACAGTTGGCTTTAACTGTTAAGTACTTCTGAATGGTGCCAGTTTATATTCTAAATAAGGACCTACAATAGTCGTGGCAGATCACCCAAATCATCGGACAGCAAGTCAATAATTCATATTAAGAGCAGAGATTGGTCCTCAGGAAAGGAAGAAAACCACCCCGAAAGCCATGTCAGACACACTTGTGCCAGTTCTAACATGAACTCCTCCAAACTGATCCAACGAGAACACAAAGTGCCTCGGGCGATAACAGCACTGTTATAGGTGCTGATGCAATCAATGCAGGTACTTCTATGGTTGTACTGCACTGCAGGGCTGGATGAAGGCCAAGACTCCTGCCATGTCTTCTTCAGTTCATAACTGCCTTCTCTGGCAGGACAATTATCGTGAACACCAGACAAAGAAGACAAACCTTGGATGTTTGAGAAAGTAATAAATAAACCCAACTTGCTTTTTTACTTCAGAGGAGATTTAAAAACAGGATGTGGCAGTTCCACCAGTTATGATGCATTCTGCTGGCAAAACAAGATGCAGGTGAAGCACACAGACCTACTGACGAGAGGAAGAGTTGGCGCTACACTACACAGGAAGCAGCACAGCACTAGTTGTCACATGCACCATAGTGTCATGATGTTCCCCTTCAAATGAATAAAGAGCATCAAGTCAAACAAAAAGAAAGAAACCGCAATGGGAGTCCTTTGACTAATTCATCGCAAGTGATCTCTGGACACAAATGTAATTAAGTGGCAGTTAATGCAGCAGCTACATGTGGAATGATTCGGGACCACCCTGGCATGCTCAGACTGGTGGGCCTCTATTTGTGCTCTTAGATTTCTTTATATGGTGGAGAGAAACAGGATGGCTACTATATGACAAAAGGAAAAGTGCTTTACTGGGCAACTAAGCAAAAAGCATCTGCTTCATCATTTCCCCATTCAGAGCGGGTACAACCAGCAAGACCAGTCTCTCACGTCAGGGCTCTGGGGCCAGCAGGAGACCTGCTGTGAGCTGATTGGCAGAGGGTACTGTGGGTGGTGTATGTGTGTATACGTGTGCTCTCTTGGAATCATACATTCAGCTCAAACCTGGTCCGGGCTTTTCTCTCAACATGTACAATCGATAAAGGGGTGGACAGGCCAGTTTCTACAGCCTGTGCTACATTCAGTTTGAACATTGTATTTCACAAATACACATTGGGGAGGAGAAAAAAAAAAGAACAAGTGTGCTGAAAAGGACTGGGAGCTTTTAAAAACCAAGCTTTTGTTAGATACAACACACTGTAAAACAAGTGTAATGTAATGGCATACATGAATCAAACATTTACCAGGCTGTCTGGGGAAGTGTGAACAGCCAGAGGAACACACATGAATGCATGCATCCATGTGCTGGAAACCAGTTAGGTGACTGCTTCAAAGCCCAGCAAAGCATAATTCTTAGCACAGTTTACAGCAACCAATACAGTAATAACCAAAAGCTTACCATTACTTACAAATTCTAGTAGAACTAAGACAAGCCACTGGCCGCCTCTTTGTGTCATGAGTAAACTGATTTAAGTGCATCCAATAATTGGTAGTGACTCATTTGATCCAATTACCACATCGGAAAGCAAACCAGCTGGATCCAATTGGAAATATGACCCAAGAGACAAGCTGAGCTCATACAGAGGCAGACTGATCTGAGCATGTCAGGGCCCTGGCCTAGTGTGGGCGGAAACCTTGTCTGTGGGGGATGAGAGGGGAGACCTGCAGGAAAGAACCGTTGTACTGGGCACAGGTGGACAGCCTCAAAGAGAGCGTGTGTAATTCCACTACATGCACTTTAAGATCACAGCAAGAGTGAGCTAGAATATCAACACAGAGAAAACAGCTTTCATGCAAGAGATCTAAGTCACAGGTACAACAATGCAAACTACTCAAACTGGAAGTTAAACTAGGGCTTTCAACAGCGTCAGCACTGGGCGATTCTGAACGGTAACTGCAGCAGAGGAGCGGGAGGAGGGAGGACAACGAGCTCTCTACTGGGGAGTGAGGGAGGTTGTAGGGGGGCAACCCCGGGCAGCTGCCACCTTTCTTTTTACGTTTCCTCTTCATCCTCAACTCTGCTGATTCTGCTGGCGGTTCTTGGTGTAGCTTGTGAAGACAAAATTGTAATCGTTGAATTGAGCCAACTGGCGGTCAAGACACTTGTAGCCATCAAGTTTCTGGGCAGAAGAAAAGACACTGCGACATTTGGAGCTCTGCAGGGGCAAATGGGGGTGGGTGGGTGTTACTACATGAATTTTTACATTAAAATCACTGTGCAAAACAAGGTTGGGCTTTACATGCCTGATTGACAAAAAGCGTAGTCACAAATTTTCCTGGCTTGAACACCTCCACCACATTCCTGACCAGGTCATCATATGACGTCTGGGACAGATTGGTTTCAAAGCTGACATAAGAGAACTCTGGCTCCGGGGTGATGTGGATGGTCCAGTATGTTTCCTACACAGGACAACAAGCAATCACATTACAGAAGTGCTGCAAGTGTTTTTTTGGCACCAGATAGAGATAATGGAAAAAGAGACGCACATCAGTTTTCATTCCATTCATTGAGTATCCACATGGGTTGAACATTGTGGCATCGATCACAGAACCTGGTATCAGGTCACGAATTCCACTCACCTGCAACAAGAAAAAAAAAAGAAAAAGATGAAAACTGTCAATTCAGACTTTCCAGATCTGCTGACTGACAAAAAAACCCCACACACTGACGTACAGATTCAGCCATTCAGAACTACTCAGTTCCCAGTTGGCTTCCAGGAGACCACTTCTGCCTGATAAGGCATGTCTGGATTCCACAGCAAAACACACCCATTGAGATGAGACACCTTGATTTGCCTCTGGTCCGCCTTTGGAGGTAGCACCAGAGGTGAAACAAAGGGGAGACGTACTCTGTGTAGAAAAGGTGAATGTCTGGGACCATATGCTACGTTTTGATGTCATGTGTGCACGCAACACCATCACTGGTGTCTCAAGTCTGCATGCCTCTCTCCCTCAAACTTTCTTGGCTTCTCCAACTTATAGATCAAACCATTCCTGACATCACAAACGTGGGGATTACATTCACACACATAGCCAAAAACATGTTAACCGATTTTGCGTGAAGCAAAAAAAAAAAAAAAAAAAAAAAAAAAAAAAAAAAATTCTTGAAGAGCCAACAAAGCTACATCTGCACTCATCTCTCCTGCACTTGTTTTTGGCTTGTAGACTACAGGCACAAAATTTACATTGCAGATGATGCAGTGTGACATCTTGTCAGAATAGCAGCCTGCTGTCTGAATTCACAGGCTGACTCACGATTATACTGCCCGTAACTTGATCTGTATGGGATATCGGCAACTCTTTGGAAGAGCAGTAGAGCAGGATGGCAGTGTAAAAACAACTTCAGAGCCAAAATCTACAGCTGCTTTTTTAATGTACATATTTAGATACTAATACACTCATGCAGATGTGTTCATACTCATACAAAATTCTCTTCACACAGACCACGTCTTTAGTAGGCTATTCACTATTTGTTAAACTGTGTGGCAACAGTCACTGCATTACAAAAGTCAGCTGCACCAGACTGCAACTGCCAGTGGCTCAGCTACACATAGCTCTCCACAGAACTACTTTTTCTGCAAACCAGAACGAACCATTTGTCATGTGGTGACGTTCTAATAATTTTGCAGGTACTGCAAGTAGCAGAATGTAGGCCCAACTTCAATATGGCTGTGGTTTATCATTTAACCACTTTGTATGGTTAAAACAGATCAAGTGTATGACGACAAAATATTAATCCAAATACAGCCAAAATAGGTGAAAGCTTATATTTTGCTTTTCAAGCAGACTTTGTCCATAATGTGTTCAATAAAGAAATGAAAGATCATGACCACTTGTCTTTCATCAGCTTAGAAATAGTGTTTGGTGAAGATCAGGAAATTGCAAACCGTGCCGTAACTTTATCTTGCAACACTATATAAACACACACACACGCTACAAAGGAACAATTTTTAGAGGAGTGCATCTTTTTTGGCCAAGACAGACCCTGAAATGCAGAAAGTCAGAAGTAATATTAAGAGCATAAAAGTAACAGAGCAACTCTTTTCTATGGCATAAAATTGACACTTGATTTATCAGTGAAAAAATTGATAAATTCAATAACTGCCAGTGGCCCAATGTCTCAAAGGGCTTACAAGGTTTGAGCATGTAAGCATAATGTAGTAGTTATGTGACAGACATGGACACTGATTAATATGTACGCAGCCACTGCCGACCAAGTGCCTCAGCTCGGTCCAGCAGTCCTACTGGATTCATCCACCAGCAGTTCTGGACATTAATAGAAGGATCAAATTATCAGTCAGCCTTTGCAGTAAACTACGACAAACACTGCTCCAACTGGTTTATACAAATGACACCGTGGGCGTCTTGTACACACCATGCTTTGGGGGTGTTAACAAGGCAGCGCTACGATCACTGTCACAGGGGATGGGATGCACGGTATGTGCAGAACCGTCATGATCAGGCAAGGTTCCACTGTGGTGCAGCCAGAAATTTAAGATTCCTGCATCTGTAAGATCTACTCACACGAGTGACATCACTTGCAGAAACACCATCTTTCATATAGAACTGGTCCATAATGGCTGGATCGAGGTCACTCATCAGAACTTCTAGGGTCTGATCTGCACGTTTGTTCTCCCAGTACTCTGGCAAGTCCAGGGTAAACAGGTACCTGTTGGTGGAGCACAGGAAATGGCTATTACCAAAGTAAAGAGGGTGTTCAAGAGGCAGCAATAACAGCCAGACTGTAGAAGAGGCTTTGCATTTAAAAATGGCAAGAGAACAGATGTGACCTTTTTACCATCATCTCATGATCACTCTAGATGCAACTGTCTCATGTCAACATGTCCTGAAGCAACAACCTGCTGTGGCGGGGTGAACTGGCAATAATTATCTGCACTTTGACTACCTTTTCTCTTATCAACTTCTCTATGGTGGCTTTTCAGATCAAGATGAAAAATAATCTGATTATATGAGAATTACTTGGTATTCATTTCTGCCAGATAAAAATCCACTGACATTAGTTAACACTGAAGAAAATATTAAGCTTCAACCAATATGCAAAACTGCATGATGCTCACCAGCAGTCAGAGTTCAAACGCCCCATACAGTAGGCTGCACCATCTGAAAGGAGTAAAAAAGTTTTAGTTGCCCTGATGGGTTACCACTTGCATAAACAACCCAATAGGGAACTGCATTCATCTCTTGGTCAATTTCTAGAAGTAATGCAACTTCTACTTAAACATCTTGACGGTAGAGCGTGTGGTCCACTCACAAGGCTGGTGATTCAAAGCACTTTGTCCCAGGGTTTCATCACATTAAATTTTAGACTACTTTGAACACAGTTTAAGACCCATTTCCATGGTAAGAATTTACTTTACATTTCAGTCATAAAATGAAATACATTTTTACATTAATGGCTTGAAAAAGTATTTAACAGCCTACATCATCACACCCTAAAGATACCATTTCAGCTGACAAACCATTTGTGGCGAGTGACAGTGTAAAGACTGCAGCAGTCAGACCGACTTTACCTCCGTTAGTAACACCTTCAACCTGATGGAACGAGACAAGAATATTCACCATCATGTTCATGAACTGGGGGCAGCACGGTGGCGCAGTGGTTAGCGCAGTTGCCTCACAGCGAGAAGGTTCCGGGTTCGAGTTTGCATGTTCTCCCCGTGCTTGCGTGGGTTCTCTCCGGGTACTCCGGCTTCCTCCCACAGTCCAAAGACATGCAGCTTAGGTTGATTGGTGTCTCTAAATTGCCCATAGGAGTGTGTGCGTGTATGTGTGGTTGTTCGTCTATGTGTTAGCCCTGCGATGGATTGGCGACCTGTCCAGGGTGTACCCCGCCTTCGCCCGATTGCCGGCCGGGATTGGCTCCGGCCCCCTCCCCCGTGAGCCCGCAAGGGACTAAACGGTAGAAAATGAACGAATGAATGTTCATGAACTGCTTTTATTTTATGCAACTTTGTAGAATTATGCATTATTTAGCAGCAATTCTCAATGACCTGCTCAACTTGGCTCCTGTCTCATTAACAACCCTCCATAGTTTCCACACAATGACATTAGCCATTTCCGCACAATGACAAGTCATAAAAGAAAGACATTTTAGTAAGTAGTGAACTGTCAGACAGGTAATTACATAATGATAGATGTTTATGTCGATTTTGGAATAGGGATGGGTACCAAAGCCCAGGATTAAACTCGCACACAGAATTATACAAACATGGTTCACTGATTAAAAGTACTACAAGTTGTTTGTTATGGTGTATTCACAAATTTGATTGTGATTCTTCTAGTCGAGCCTTTGTTTTTACTTTATTCTTTACCAGCCCGTGGCCATAACAGAAGGCAGCCCCAGCTGGCAGTTTTGTCTTCTCATTTTGGTGCACCAAGTAGCAATTTGCTTAATACTCCCCTGTAGTTTTGGGGTGGGGATACCCACTTCAACGATGACACTGCCCAGTGCACATCAAGGTCAGATCTATCGAGCAAATTGCAGATCGAGGAGAAAAGGACAATAAAACTCACTAGGACAAGCCACATAAAAGGTGAGATTTTATACTTTATTAGAACCGTTTTCAAATATCGTGTTCTAATTTTAGGCGATGTGGCTGGTTTTGCATAGCCTAATGTTATGCGAGTCCAGTTTGTTTATCCATCGCTGTTAAAATGCAACGTACAGCTATTTACTAACTGTTTCTATGACATGCATCCATCCGAACGGGATTAGGAAGCTAACAAAAACGCATCAGGAAAACATTTAATTGAGGAATTATTAAAAAAAAGGGGGGGGGATCATTTGCAGTGCAAACTTAAATTTGTTGGTAAGCTAAGCTATAACAAGAAATTGCATATAAAAGCATAGTCTCAACAGAAATTTAAGTGTGCTGCCTGTCTTGTTATTCCAACAAATCCATAGGGTAGCCCGACATTATACATCCTCTATTTAAATAGATCACTGTTGCATCATATGCAGCAGTCTTTGGATTTTTAAATGCTCAAATACTGCCTTTCCTTGTCACTCTTTCACATTTAAATACCAATGTTAATGTAGTTGAAATCACTGAAATTAAGGCCATTTGATTTTCTGACAGTCTAGACACACATAATTTATTTATATTTAAAAATGCTAGAATAAGAATGACTAGTTGCACTGAAGAGCCAACTAAGAAAATCCTTAGTTGGTACAGCCCTATTAACATTAGCTTTTGTTAGCCTTGTTCAGGACTTTGTCAACCTCGTCACTTGACATTGTGCTGCTGCAATGCTGCTGTACAACCTGGACTCACCAGTCAGCTAATAGTAGCTTTGGACTGGTGGCATTGTTTTATACAGTTTGTCCGAACTAGGCATCCTTAGTTTACATTGCTGCTAGGAAACAACGCATCAGTTTGTTTTGAGTTTCACTATAACCTCTAGTGGCTGACAAGAAATTAGTTAATGCACCTTTAACATTAAAATAATCCACTTAACCTAAAAGTACAGCATGTTGAATAATTAAGACCTGTCAGAATTACATTTAAAACTTTAACTGAAGTTCAGATTAGGCTAAGGACCTGAAGAAACGCTGCTGTCTGTTAAGGTTAAAAAGCACTAAACATACAGTACTTTAAGTGCAGCCCTTTCACCATTTCAGCCATTCTAGTCACACAACACCAGATATGCCCGAGAACAATTCAAAAAAGGCACAGCATCTTTTTTTCATATTTGCAGGGCTCACCAAGTTAAATATCAGACTTTAAAAAGGCTTTGATTCCAAAAATGATTAAATCAGTAAGCGGATAAAAATGTTTTACTTTCTAAAACCTAAAAACTTCTGAGTAAATCAAAAACTATCCTTGCCTTAGAAACACATCGTCAATGCCCCTCCCAAGACAATTGTCTGAAAAACTGGTTATTTTACATACTCGGGAAAATCTGGCTGAGAAAGTCCATTTCCTCCTGAAAGTTTCGATGAGGGAACTCCTGATGGGTTGGTTTCATAAAGTTCTTGCGGGAGTAGAAGAAATTCTGAGGCCGGGAGCATAAAAACAGGATATGGTCAGTGCTCTGATCATGCATTACATCATCAGCTACAAGCACAATGTAAAAACTGCATAAGTGATTCTACTTTAATAAATCTCACATTCACATACGTTACAAGTACAAATTCTGTGTGGGTCTAACCTCGATGGCATCAAAACCGCAGTACTCCCTGACAAGTTCCAGCAGAGGCACCAGTGCTTGCAGTAAGAGGGTGGTTCCGCATGTCTTCAAAATGAAACGTCTCTTGGAGACAAACATGCTACTCTCACTGTGAAGATCAAAGAAAAAGTATTATCAGGGAACACGTCACTTGACAGTAGGGGCATGACAATACACTTGGTTCAAGAGAAGAGAATGAGAAGATATTTTAACAGCCCAATTAAAAAAATCTTTGACAAAATTACTAGGAAAAAAAAACTCATTCAACTGAAAATCAAAATGCAAAACAATGCTGTGCATTTTAAAAGGTTTTAACTAATCTTGTAATGACTGTCACTTGAGTTCTACTTTCCAAGTATGAACTCATATACAGTCAAAGACAACTTAAGAAATATCATGCTTTAATATCATTAAATCTCATGGCACAAGATAGTCAAACCCCTACTTCACAACATAGATGTCAGCAAGAGTACGTGAACTCTAAACAAATTTCTTCTACTCTTCTGTTAGTAATTACAGTGGAGGTACACTTTGACTTAGATGTTATGTAAAGTGCATGTTGGTGGGAACTCCCACCCATATGATATCAAAGTTTGTTGGAAGAAATCAAACACTAATTTACCCTGGTTATAAACCATTGGTAGTGTTACTTGCAGTCTTCAACTCTTGGAGACAGGGAGAACAAAGTTTTGACTGTGACAAAAAGAGTGAAATTACTTCCTGGTTGTGATATCAGCATTTGTCTCAACTGTAAAAACTTGTTTGATTAAAGTTAGCACAACAAAATGCATTTTCCTGCTTTCACGTGGTCTCACTGCAGATGGCAGTTCTTTACGGAGGCCATCAAGTCTTTAGACCCTTAGTACAAGCAGGGCTTTCTTAAAACATTTACACTTGTTTCACTGGCCCTAAATATAAACTTGTATAGAACAGTCTATGGAGTCTCATCATGTGAGACAGCAACTGTGCTATAAATGGCCAAGTGACTCATTTAATCCTGAAAAACATGAGTATACTGCAAGCCAAGACCGAGTACTTACCTGAGTATATAAGCTTCCCGTTTGTCAGTCTTTGTCACACTTATGATCAAACAATGCACATTCTCCAGAAGTTTGTCCCACTCAAATCTAAAATAAAAATGAAAGGACAACATTTAGCATTTATTTTTATTGGACTGGTTGTCACATTAAGCGAATCCTGCACCAAGACAAAAAGAATTTGCACGTTGAATGCAAAAATAATTTTTTTTACCATTTTTTTTTTTTTTATTTGTAAAAGAACCAACACTCTTCTACAGGAACCCAGAACAGAGAATAAGGGGATCTGTTACAGGAAATCACAAAGCTAAGGGGGAGAGACACAGAAAATAAACTAGCAATAACCTCGACAAGATGAAGAATTGATCTTGTGCGGTTTGTCAACTGAAATACAGCAAACTCATTCATTTGACCTGAAATTCACTGTCCCTGGAGAGGGTGGGGGGTTTTACAGTGATGTAGTGTGAAATCTCCAAAGAAGGAATTATTCAGACCGACAGGATCCAGCTGCTTGCTATGTGGATTTGTGCTGTTTGAATATTAGCCCTAGTTCCTGAGGCAGGCTGAAAATCACAGGCTGGGCCAGACGACACAGCCAGCGCTCTCCCTGAACAACAAGAAGCCTGCTCCTGCCACCTCCACCACTCAAACATAGCCGCAGTGCAAATACAGCTGCGTCACATTCTTATTGCAGCCTAGGAAGGGGAGCCGAAGCCCATTCAGAGCGTCTAGTAGGAAGCACAGCACAGCCTGGGCTGGTGAAGAAAGAGCATAACACTCAGTGAGGAATTTACCAGTGGGCAATGCTGCATAGCTTACCTACAGAGACATTGACACATGACTCGACAGCCATTTCTGGAGAAAAACAAAAAGTGTGCTTCTGTGGCTATCTAGACTGTCTGCAGCCATCCTAATAGGCTCCGACTGCTCTGGTGTGACCAGCAAGACATTTACCTACTGACTAAACTGCACAAGGTTTCACTCACCATTTCAACACATAAAACCAAGTCAATATCACAAGTCTCAGTACTACAGAAAATGTATCTGGAAAACCTTGCTGTGCCTCACCCTTACATGCCTGGGGGGGGAAGAAAAAAAGCCTTTAAATACTGGTGGATTCTAGTAACCAGGATACAGGCTCCAAGAAACTGAAACACAAGTCTGGCCAGTGATCATTTTGCTTGCTCCATCCCTAAGCAACCAAAAAAACAACAACAAAAAAAAAACTATGCAAGGGACAGAGTTGTGGCTCAGAACAAACAATTAATTACAAAATAACAAACGCCGTCTTTAAAAGAAAGAAGTAGCAATGAAAGGCTGTGTTTTATCACATTTGCAGATTAGTCCAACTACATATTAACCTTCTGATTAGTCAGTTTTAAGCCTTAGTCTAGTGAGGCACATGATAAAAAGCATGCACACAAGAAAGACTTGACCACCATCTTTAATGTTCTGTATGAAGACAAAAGAATGCATCTCTGCTACTGATCTCTTGAATAAATAACCATGCTGTGTACAACACCACTAGCTGCAATGCCTGTATCATAAGCATTTGCTAATGAAAATCTGACCAAGCTGAAACCTAGGCAATGATATTCTTCTCTTATGCATTTAATCTTAGGTGAAATAATACAAATGGGCTGGCACTTTTATAGGGACAGGGATAAGCTCCACAGCTATGACTTGTCCAATTAAATTTTTTTTTTTACCCCTTGTTTTAAAAAAAAGTTGCAACATGCAAGCGTCCTGCTCTATACCAGAAGGACAATGTTACTAGAGAGAAGGATGAGCTCTGGTTTCAGTGTGAGATGTACAGCCAAGGTCATTTCGGGTCTGAAAAGGATCAGATTTTACTCAGAATAAGAGGTGTCGAGAAAAGGACCAGTTAACACTGCTAAGTACTATATACTCAGAAGACAAGGGAACATGGTTTACAAGGATGACAGTCCTGGGATTGGGGCCCCATTTTGGGAAGAAAAAACAAAGTTGTAGGGACACAAAAAACAATTTACTAATTTACAAGTGATAATGGCTGTAAAAACAAAATCAGGCAGCAGAGCTACGAAGGTTAACATTCACTGGCCTTCAGGACTAGTACTGCAGTTTGATAATCACTAGAAGACCATGGGGTGCTGTTGAGCCCCGAGGAAGGACAGCAGAGGTCATGCGAGTGAGCTCCACTTTTGTGAATCAGATGCCCTTGCGGACTTATTAGGACATTGGCCAAAGTCCAGCGAGTCTGATCCCCTGGCAGCATTGCACTGAGCCGCTAATCTGCCCTGTGCCAGTCCTCATTCACCCAACTGGCCGGCCACACACACTTTCAGTTGACTTCAGTGATCTGTTGACCAAAAAAGTCAGTGTTGGCAGATTTGGCCTTGGGAAAAAATGTCGTCAATAACAGAGGCTAAAGCTTAGACAAAATATGGACAGAAAACAGTGATTTTTAAACCCAGAAAAGGAGTGGGGGCAAATCAGCTCTTCAACTGCTGTTGTCATGGTTAATCATTCAGTTGACACTAGTACCAGACGTTCAAACTAGCACAGCACCAGCACCACTCAATAAAATAACCAATTCCAATTTTGTATAAATTGATTTGTGATAATCCAACAGGCAGCAGAGGTCGTCTTTAACGACTGCCACTCATTTCTCTGCAAGGCCAATCACTGGCATGCACTCTTTCTTTGAATGTAGTAGGAGACCCTCTGGCCAATAGGAAGACCTGGGAGGGGAGGGGCTACATGACTGGAAACGTGAGGCAACTCAGGGGTCCGCCATGCAGTAGCTGTGCCCTGCCTGCGGTACAAGTCAGGTCTACTGATATATTAAATTTATCACAGTGAGCGACTCTCTTGGCACAAAACACTCCCAGATGACTCAGTGTCCTGTAATTTGAGTAATGCAAATTCCAACAGGAAGCATTTGAGATGCTTGTCAGCCTAAAGACGCAACCGTTCCTCTCCTAACTTCACTTCTATCTGGTTGATCATAAACCGATGTCTGTGACTTGCTGTGTGCATCTCTATTGTTGATAGCTCCCATAGCTGCAACCGAAGCAACACGCGGTGACGACGGGCGACCACATGCTTGCCGTATCCTGTGAGGCCCCTTCGTTCAATGACGCAGAAAAAAATTAAGCTCTCCATTTACAACGCACAAACACACAACGCCATGTTGTCAAACCAGTTTTACCCGTCAAACGAGTAGCTTAGCATGTTTCAGCACATTGATGTAATTTAATCAAACTACAGTAATGAGGGAGCAATGAAGTGCGTTTGCTCAGACAGCATCGGGGGGTGAAGTCCGCCTAATGTTGGCACCAAGTGTGCTGACATATTACAGTGAGGAAAGATGAGAATTACTCAAATGGCCCGTCAGACCGTTTGAGATGTACAACGAGCAAGAAAACAAAAAGGAGGCAGTTTAATATTTGAATATTTTCTCATGAACTAGGTATTGTTAGCTGGCTATAAGATGGTTGCCATCCTGCTGTGAAGGCTGCTTTAAAGCCTTAAACAACGGTTCTATATCTCACCATAACATGTGAGCGATCAATATACCAAAGTAACTGCCATACCTCTCCTCCGTGAAAAATTAATAACTTGAACGTGACACTTTACACAAGGGGGGCGCGCATTTGCGAATGACAGTTAGCTAGCTTACCATTAATGGGCTCTGGTATCATAATTTGGTTCTCTTCCTAGCTAGACAGCTATCTCAACATGAACCACTAGGTAAGCGAAACAAATTACCTCTAAAAAACACGATTTCGCCACATTTAAACTCTTAATTAGCTACATGTCACGAATGAACCGAGAGAATGAAGCCAAGCATGTGGCCAGCGTTTCCGTCAGCATTCCAATATGTTGCCAAGAGCTAATGTTAACACGGCAACATTTAATTGACAAACCTTGGGATGGCACGGAGATCCCCGGTTCCTTTGGCCTCATCCTGCCGAGAGAACCACACCTCTAATAGCTTCTCCGTCCCTTCGAAAAAATGTGCACTGTTATCTTCCATCATGAGACAACAGACACCCAACAAAAATATTAACCGTCGTTGTAACGTTTGCAGCTTAATTAACTCCTCCTCGATCAGTTATAATTTATTGGGGTACAGTTCTTTAAGCAATCCAGGTGTTGTTTTTCTTTAGTTACCGTCTTCCCTTTTGCAGAGAATACCGTTAGCGAGTGCTAGCTAATATCGCCGGCCATACTGTGTAAAGCGCAGAATGAAGATGCCGCGGTGTTTTTATTTCCTAGCCACAGTTACGTCAGTCTTACGTTGAGCCAATCAAGTCGCCTGGCTCTGTCTTGTGACATTTGGTTGATCCAGGGACCTATCCATCATTAAATAAAGAAGTCACGTGACGTTGTTTTTTTTTACAGTCTACACGTAGCGTGTTAGAGCCAAAAACATCAAACTACACTAATAGTTCCAAATTACATTTTAAAGGGATAGTATAATGATAACACAGTAAATAATATTAATTTACGTTCCTATGTGAAAACATGGGACAATTCTACTTATCTGTTGTACAAGTATTATACTTATTCTTATGACAAATCTGTCTTCTCTGAGAAATGTATTGTTCTGTACATATGGATGACATGTTATTATAATTTATTCATATGACGTTCCATAGGATGACCGTAATGTATTAATTTAGCGTTTGTGTTCTATATTGACAATAAAAATACACAATTTATTTTCTTAATAATACTAATGCACATAGAGTAAGAATTCGTTTATAAAACGAACCCGATGGAGAAAGCTAAATAAAAGTACACCTGAAGAAAAAAGTTACGTTATTGTATTTTATTGGTATTATATAGTACAATTTTAACTGTGCAAATCAGGTAACTCAGGCTAGTGTTTATTGTGTGCTTTTTTACACTTACACTTAATCTGACAATTAAAAACAGCAGACTTTTCGGAAAAAAATCAAATATATTTTCTGTTCTGTTGTTTATGTTGTAAGCCTAGGATAATTGGAATGTATGCTATGAAATTACCGCCTTTAAGAGATCGTGTAGGTATTATAAAAGTTTTTCTACATATGTGTATAGACTACAGCGTATGTACTTTGGACGAACAGCTGTTTGTACACTATAAAATCTAAACCACCGACGGCTGCATTTTTGAAGCGCTTTCATGAGTACGCAAAGTGCAACAAAACGCAGCGAGAAACGCGGGTTGTAGTTTCTTACGTATCGGCTTAGGAGCTACTTGAACTGCAGCGCTTGCTCAAAAGAACTACCCTACCCAGTGATCCCTGCGCGCCAATTAGAAACGTCAACGATCCAGTGAACATTAAGCGGAGCAGACCAAAATCCCAAACAAGGAAATGGTGGGGGAATAAAACGACCAGATTATTTAATTAATGCATGTAATAATTAATATTTTATTTTATTGTAAATTAAGACGTATTTATGGGTTAAAATGGATTACGACTTCAAAACAAAGCTGGCGGCTGAGAGAGAGAGAGTAGAAGATCTGTTCGAATATGAAGGTTGCAAAGTGGGTCGAGGCACCTACGGGCACGTTTATAAAGCTAAGCGCAAAGACGGGTAAGATAACCGTGAACGTTATTGTTTATACTGACATAAAACTGACTGGAGGATGCATTTTCTCAACACGCACCTCGGTTGTGTGTCAAATGGGGTGTTAGATTTGAACCTCCCCGAAGCGATAACCCATGTCTCTGTGTTTTTGTTTTCATGTAACGCACTCACTCACCCACTCACTCACTCACTCACCAACGCCCCCCTCCCTTTCCTCCTCCCCCTCCTACTCTTCAACCCTCCCCCCCACCCCCAAAACAACACAGCGTGCTATTTGTCTTTTATCAAGTGTCTTATTCGTGGTGGCAATGAAGATATGTTGCTCTTAACTGAATTAACGGCGCTGAAGGACAGTGGTATCGTCATTACACGCGATAGTGACATTTCAGCGTCTCTTCGTGGACAAGCCGCTCTCCCATTTTTAACACTGTGAACTGCCAAACTTTTTTTAGACACATAGTGGATAGTTACCCCTCAGCTATTTCCTCTTTACATTGTTGCTGTTAGCCATATGACAGTCTAATTCACGTGTGACTGCAGGAAGGTGGGCAGTTGTTTTCATGTCTGTTAGGCTATGCTATGCCAGCAGTGGCACTGTTTGTTACACATATGGGCCGAATCCTATTTCACAATGTCATATTTTTTTTGGTTTTCCAGTAACTATCATGACTCAAATCATCTCTGACTCAATGTATTGTAAAGCTGAATCAAGAATGCAGGCTGTGTTTCCTCATATTCACCCATAGAGCACTGTGTAATAGAGATTTGATGTGAGGTCAGAAAGTGAACAGAGGTAGGTCACAGGCAGTCATCTCTGCAGCAGTACTGCAAGGTAATAACATCCTCAATAGATCTTGCACAGGGTCATGTAGCTTACCTAAGCCCTTTCTTAAAACTACTCTATATATGATGTATGAAATACAGTGAGAAATAAAATATTCAGCAGGTGTTGTAAAACCTCTGGGTCCCTGTCAGTGCATTATCCTGCCTATATATTCATATGTTATATCTAGTAGATTTACCCCTTCATGCTTTGCCCTAGGATACTGTAATTTTTGATAGCTCTGTGCACTGATGGTAGTATGGCATGTCTTATGATGCACCATCAAAAAAAGAGGAAAGCACAAGTGCAAGAAATAACATAAATGCTGGCTCAGTTCTGACTGCCTTAAATGGAGTACAGCCATCATGAATATTATTAGAATCCAGAATTCACAGTCTAGAACTGAGGATTTTTTTTTAAGTTTTGAGAGTCATGGTCTTGACGGCTAAGTTGCTTCCACTAAATACTGTGCTGCAATACTACAGCTTGTAATGTGTAATACTGTTGTTGCTTCTACCCTTGGAAAAATAAGCTGTACAACTATAAGTGAAATCTGGAGAGTTGCTGCTGACAAGGCCCGGGCGACAGAGCGCATCACATAGTGAAGCTAATATGTAAGGTCTAACTGAAAGGTCTCCAGCTGATATACATCTAGAAATCCGTTATCCTGAGTTCCTGTTAAATGGTTTCATACCTGTGGATTAATTATATGCAACTTTGGCATGACGGCATGAAGATGTAGTTTTGAAACATGGAGGGACTGTCTCCGTATATGGTATTGTATCAGAGCCAGGATCAATGCTGTATAGCTCCAAATGTGCATCTCTCTGCAAGCTGAGTGTGTCATATTCAACCAGTGACCTCACTTTGTGAGTTTATGCACTTTTATTTGGAGAGTTGTTAGCAATCTGTCAGTGAGCAAGTACCAGCACTGGTGGTTAATACATCACATCACTTTTAATCTTGAGCTCTGCATGATTTAACAGTTCGAAAACAAGTATTATAACTATAAAATATGAATGCTATACATGCAAATGAAAAGGTCACATTGTGGGATTAATGACTGGCTTGAATTGCAATGATACCTTTAATTTCTTTCATATTATTTTCAAGCTTAGTCACACTCAAATCTGTCCTTTAAACTTTAGCACTGTCCAGATAGGTCTGCTGTGTGTTCAGTGTAATAATGCACAAAACATTAGGTGGTCTATGACTGTTCAGGTCCAAAGGAAACTTTGCTCAGACGTTTGCTGTGCTGCATGTCTCTGGTGGTTTTTTTAAAGTGTAGGTTTATGGTGCTGGCATTGCATAGTAAACACCAAGAACCAGTCACCAGTGCATCTGCAGACCACAGCATTCCAGATTTTTAGAGACATTATGTGACTGTGATGTAACTGCAGAGGCCTGCCCTGACACTGCAGGCACACACTAACCAGCACATTAGCTATGCAGTGGCCTGAAGGGCCCTGACCAGCCAAGTGAGCTGAATGACAGTTGCCCATTGGGTTTTGTTGGGCTGTGTGTGACCAACCATAAATTTTACATTTTGTGATGCGTCTTGCACTGCTGGTACTGGTAGACGTTTCAGGATGTTAAACTGGCTACTGGAAAAAGTACACTGATTGGCTATCTATTTTTTTTCCGCAGGCCGAAAAAAAACATTACAAAACAAAGCCAGATGAAAAATTTTATTAGGCATATTCTCAATGTGCAATTTGCTTTCTAATGAGACAGTTTGATCAGATTCACAGTGACATCAAAACAGCTCAAAATGTTCTTTGGAGTACACGTGGTTTATTTAATATGGTTTATTTACTGCTAGGCACACACATACAGTAACGTACCATCGTGTCAGTGGCCAGCCATTACCACTGGCTGTATTCTCTGCAGTGTGTAAATGAAACTCTTTGCATAAGATGGGTGGAGACACAGTAACCAGTCCTTACTAATTTATTGAAGTTAACTTGGTGTGTCAGCGCTTAAAGAGTGTAGGCCTAGACCTGTTGCAAAACCCCTTTATATTAAACTACCCCTCACTGCAAACTGAAAAATGACAAATTGATATACCTGGAGAATTATATGGAGGAGCTGTTCATCAAAAGTTCTGCTGACATTTGATGTCATGGCTGAAGAAAAAGGCTAAAAATTAGAAGCTCATATCCATCTGTGGATGTCATTCTCTGTGGTTTTCTCATCATTCCTCCTTCTGCTTTGCACAGCTGAGAAATGAATAGATTATTAATATGCACATTTGACTAAATCATATGCAAACATTTTGTTTACAGACCGAAGATGAAATGTTATGAGCTGTCTTGAGCATCTGTGCAGCTCAGCTCATATTAGAGATGTGTGTCTGAGAAGTCTAATTAACCTGTGACCACCTCCAATGTAAATTAGGCTCAAGTTTGTTTGATCTTAAAACCATAAGGACCTGTTTGATCAGTGCTGAGAGCCAGCTAAATGAAGTTGTTATTGGAAGCTGTCTGCAGAGTACCTTTTAATCATGCTGCTTTGCACTCGTTTCCTTATAGCTCAAAGTATTTCCTCCACTGCTCTCTGCTCATACAACAGAATAGTGCTTATCTCAAGTAATCTATATTTATCTGTTGAATGTGCTCACCCCTGCAGTCTCACATTTCACTTATTACCTGGCTTTCATGCTCAAACATGACTCTCAAGGGCAAATGACTTTGCTGCAAATGCCAGGATGGAGGGAACAACAGAGCGCTCCTGCAGGGAACAGGTGGCTCTTTTTTTAGGTTTAATGGCAGGGATTCCTCCTCCTTTGAACTTCTGCAAGCTTTTTTTTTTTATTTTTGTCCTTGTTTTCCTCTAAATGCATCTCCTGCTTTCATAATTAAAACCCAAAAGGCCAAAGCAGGAATCAGAGTTCTTGAAGTTGATGTAATAAAGTCTGCATTGTTTGATTGTGAAAACATCGGTTGGTTGTTTTGTAATGTTGCTCCCATTTTCTCTTTTTATCTCTACAGTAAAGATGAGAAAGAGTATGCACTGAAACAAATAGAAGGCACTGGAATATCGATGTCGGCCTGCAGGGAAATTGCTGTAAGTTTGTTTGTTTGTTTGTTTCTGAGGCCTTGGATCACAGGCAAAGTTACATTCTTTCTGAGATTGAAATGAGCAGATATTTATTTCAGATCTGTGTTGATTTTATTTTTGAATCAAGACTACCCTGTAAAACATAAAACAGGAATTTAGTAGAATCAACTAAACTTTTCTCATTAACATAAATATGTACAGTAAATTTAGGTAATTTCAAATTATTTCAACTTAGGAAGTCTGGCCCTAAATTTTCAGACCACTTTAGAACTTATAAACCTGAGTTGTTCTGACTTGAGATATTTCAACTTGAAATGATGAGTTGAATGAATGAACTGCTTAGAGTTCACCCAACTCATTAAATGGCATTTTTATAAACTTGACTTTCCTTTAAGAAGCATTTAATTTGGTATGTTGAGCAATTTGATTCCAAAACCAGATGTAGGAGTTTTAAATTGTTATAACATTTTGTAATTTCAAAACCCAAGTACAAACCCCAATACCAATGAATGTGTAAAATGTAAATAAAAACAGAATGCAATGACTTGCAAATCCTTTTTGACCCATATTTAATTGAATACACCGCAAAGACAAGATATTTAATGTTCAAACTGATAAACTTTGTTTTTTGCAAATATTCACTCATTTTGAATATGATGCCTGCACCACGTTCCAAAAGAGCTGGGACAGGGGCAACAAAAGACTGGGAATGTTGAGGAATGCTCAAAAAATAACTGTTTGGAACATTGTACTGGCAAACAAGTTTATTGGAAAGGGTGAGCCATGATTTGGTATGAAAGGGGAATCCCAAAAGGCTCAGTCATTCACAAGCAAGACCAGGGTGTGGTTCACCACTTTGTGAACAACTGCGTGAGTAAATAGTCCAACTGTTTAAGAACAACAGTTCTCAACGTATAATTGCAAGGAATTTAGGTATTTCATCATCTACAGGCCACTAAAAGGCTCAGTCATTCACAAGCAAGACCAAGAAAACCACTGTCAGTTAACACAGTTTGTCGCAACATCTACAAGTGCAGGTTAAAACTCTACCATGCAAAGCGAAAGCCATACATCAACAACAACCAGAAAGGCTGCCAGCTTCTCTGGGCCCGAGCTCATCTGAGATGGACTGATGCAAAGTGTGCTGTGGTCTGACAAGTCCATATTTCAAATTGTTTTTGGAAATCATGGGCATCGTGTCCTCTGGGCTAAAGAGGAAAAGGACCATCCAGATTGTCCAGCGCAAAGTTCAAAAGCCAGCATCTGTGATGGTATGGGGTGTGTTGGTGCCCATGGCATGGGTAACTTGCACATCTGTTTAGCACCATTAATGCTGAAAAGTACATACAGGTTTTGGAGCAAAATATGCTGCCATCCAAGCGACGTCTTTTTCAGGGACGTCCCTGCTTTTTTCAGCAAGACAATGCATTCTGCACGTGTTACAACAGCGTGGCTTCGTAGTAAAAGAGTATAGGTACTAGACTGGCCTGCCTACAGTCCAGACCTGTCTCCCATTGAAGATGTGTGCAGCATTATGAAGCGCAAAATATGACAATGCAGACCCTGGACTGTTGAGCAACTGAAGTCATACATCAAGCAAGAATGGGAAAGAATTCCATCTACAAAGCTTCAACAGTTAGTGTCCTCAGTTCTCAACTGCTTATTAAGTGTTGTTAAAAGGAAAGGTGATGTGACACAGTGGTAAAAATACCCCTGTCCCAGCTCTTTTGGAACGTGTTGCAGGCATCAAATTCAAAATGAATGAATATTTGCAAAAAACAATAAAGTTTATCAGTTTGAACATTAAATATCTTGTCTTTGCGGTGTATTCAATTAAATATGGGTCAAAAAGGATTTGTAAGTCATTGTATTCTGTTCTACATTTTACACAATGTCCCATATTCATTAGAATTGGGGTTTGTAACATCATCATATCATCTGCATTCAGAATAATGAAAATACAGCACCAGATCACACTGTAGTTCAAAGATGGTGTTTGTTTTTGTTATGAGCCTTCTAGAAGACTTGCTTAAGGGACATAACCTTTCACATGATTTCCAGCAAGCACTCAAGTTTAGGTCTATAGTATTAGTCGTGGGGGGTGGTGCTGCCAGAGGGTGAGTCAGCATTCCACTCAGTCAGTCCTCTCAGTGGCTGCCGACAGAGAATATGTGGCCCTTTTTACCAGCCGGTTACATAAGGGGCTCTACCTGGAGGGCAACTGTCTGCCATATGGTGCAAACACTGTCAGTGCCACTACGCAAACACTCCCTAGAATACACATCAAACTGGGGTTAAATTGATAGGAATATTGTCATGATTGTTTTGTGTACTTTAACATTTGCATCCACCCTTAACTGCACTTTCAGAAGCTGACAAGATGTTGCATATTAACAGTTCCTCTTTTTTTGTCAGCAATAAACCAAAGTTTTTTTTTAAACTCATCTGAGAAAAGTCATCCCCACCAAAGTACATGTGGATTTGTATTCTTCTACTCATTCATTCACTCATCATAAACTTGTACTTTTATTTCCATTTTCCTTGTGCCTCTTTGTTTTGTGTTAGTTGTAGTGTTTATTTTTTGTTATTGTAAAGGTCGTAATGAATGTGTGTATACCTTGTTTGTGCTTTCTAGCACTTATAGTCTCTTAATCTGATATGATCTCTACAAACGGTAATCAAAGAGACTTGTTTCTATAAAACCGTATTTCAAATGACCTGTCTTGTTTAGCCAGCAAGAATTTCCCTATTATCAAACATACTAATAGTTATCTAGCTGGATGTCCACAAGTGAGTTATGTACTGTAAGTATTGATAATTCCCCCTCTAAATCAAAATAGCATTTGATGTCACATACAGTACCTTTTGATGGATCATGTACACATAAGTTTAAACTAAGAAATATAGAATCACAAGAGTTGTCTGGTTGTAGACCATGCGTTGTTAAATGTTCCACTGTCACATTCCTACATATAGTTCTTGTTTTACTGTTAATATATGTTGTCCAAGTGAAGTTGTTTTCAGTGCCATGTGTACTGGCTATAGGATGTAATTCATAGTGCAACCACACAGATTATCAGGCTAGTGTACAAGTTATTGCTGAACCTCTCACACATAAATATCCATTAGATCTCAACAACATTCATCAGGGCTCTTCTTACTGTGGCTGTGTGATTATGGTAATGATATAGTCTCATGAACATGTGGTATTTGTCAAATTGAAACAGTTAAGAAGATTTGCCAAATCTGCACTTCGTTTGAACAAAAGAAGTCTGTCAAAATAATAATTAAAAAAGTTCTTGTGTTAATATGATTGTATAATGTTTTTGATCCAATACTGGTTTAATGTGACTGATGTCTGCAGTTGTTTAGTTCCCATGTTTACTTCCTCGGGCTCCTTATTCCTTATAGGAAAAGGTCTGTTTTCTTCTCTCTCTGTCCTCATCTCTGACACTCTGTCATTATCTGCAAGTAGTCTGGTGTCAGATTGCATGCAAGCACACCAGTCTCTCCCTCTAGTACCGATAAAAGCGTTCTTGCCATCCGTTTGAGGGTGGGGGTGGAGGCCTTGGAGATTCAACTTGTTGTTGCAACATTGTGTTATTTAATGCTTAGTCATCGCCTGACAAATATCGCTTACATTTTTTTGTAATTTGAGTGATTACATGTGTTGTCATGCATTCAACTGTGACATTCATTCACCTAAGAAATATTGCAAGTAGTGTTACAGAGCACAGTGGTTAAAGCAAGGTGGTTGATTTGCTTTGTCTTTGTAGCTTTGAAAGAACAATTGTGTCTTTCTGAAGCCTCTGAAGTAGGCCTGTTTTTGATATCACTCTGCAGGGACAACAAGATAAGATACATTTTTGTTCTGGCAGCGTTCTTTTCCAGAACAATTGAATCAATTCAGTTCAATTCAATTTTATTAGTTTAACAGCAAATCACAACAAAAATCAGAATCAGAATGAGTTTTATTGGCCAGGTGTGATGGACACACGAGGAATTTGACTCTGGTACATTGGCTTTCAATGTGTATGTACATGTCCTTATGTAAGGCAGCAATGGGCAAGTAATCAACTGAGTTTACTTTACATGGTAAGGTCTAGACCTAACAATTATTATTATTATTAACAGAAGAAACCTAAAGCTCCAAGAAACGTAGAGCTCCAGAGCCAGGGCTACCTGCAGAAAAGTACAGGGAGCGAGAGAGGACACACTGTGGGAGAGAGGAGACACAAAGTTAGTGACACATAATGGTGGCATATATATGCATGAAGAGAGGAAAGGAGAGGAGAGAAACTCAGAGCACCATGGGGCCCCCCATCAGCCGAGGCCAGTAGCAGCATAACTAGGTTCGAATACAGGTTGCGTCAGGAAGGGCATCCGGCGTAAAACACCAAATGTCAACATGCGAGTCGTCAGTGTGACAATTCTCTGTGGCGACCCCTAAACAGAAAAAACCGAAAGTGACTTTCTTTCTTCATTAGCAGTAGTAGTATAGTATAGTATTATTATTATTTGTATTATTATTGAGGAAAACCCCAACAAATCCCCCTTGAGCAGCACTTGGCAACAGTGAGAAGGAAAAACTCCCTTTAACGGAAGAAACCTCCGACAGACCCTGGCTCTGGTGTTCTTTGTAGGGCTGGACCCTAATATTTGAGTATTGGGATATTTGTCATTATGTTTGATTTATGTAATGAGGGGTGTGTGTGGCTGGGGTGCAAGAGAGGTGGGATATGATGCCATCACATAGCCAGTTTGTAATTTGGTCATAGACAACCTGGTTTCTTGCCGTTCCCTTAAATTTGTCTAACAATTCTGGCAACAGCTCTAAACAACAGAAGTCTCAGAATCTTGTTGTACCTCCAGTCAGATATTGTTGTTGGTGTCGTCACTGTAAATGACCATTTTGTTTCACCATCGGATGTTTCTCTTCTTCTGGTTTAACACCAGTCACATGATAGAACATCATCAACACACACACTAGCTTGGTGTGGAAACTC